GAGCCGGGTGAGAAGGTGGCACAGACTGCCGCAATCGACAAAGCGGTTTATGTGACTCCAGACAACCGCCCGAAGCTTGTGACGCCACAGCGCCCATTGAAGAAGCAGCGGACAGCAGCAATGGAGTTGGAATCGCCGAGCCCGGTGAGGCCACTGGATCTACGCTTCATCACACCGGCACGCCGCACGCGTGGGGGTCCATCGACACCCTTGTCACTGGGTGTTACGTTCTCTCCACCAAGGGTGTCTACGTGTTCGATGAAAGATGATGGCAAGCCCATGACCCAAGTGCAGAAGCCGAGCACTGCAGCCACAGCCAGTGAGAGCTTTGAAAATTCAGGCAGGGTAGATAGCCCGCGGGCCGTCTCAGGCTCAGACCAGAGCAGCAGCAATGCAATGAAGCTGCCCTGACATGTCTTCAGAACTGCTGGCAATGGCCGTGCAGTCTCAGGAGGGTTTTGGAAAAGAACAGAGCGCATCTCTGCCCTGCACAAGTCTGCTGCCTGTGTGGTGAATTCACAATGATGAAGTGCCCGGTGTCACTGTATGCTGTGCTTGCGACCGAAAACAAAGCCTAGGTCATGCCAAAGCTGGTGGCGGACACGTTGGATGGGACAAGTGTGATGAGGCCTTGGGAACACTCCGGAAATGAATTTGCAGCTGTGCTGTTGTGATGGCAGGCCAAATGTGAGTGGCAAAGAGGCCAACTCTTTTTTCGCACGCTTCTCAGACCGGGACAGCTAGTGCAACCGTGGGCTCAGCAGTTGCGACAGTTACACGTTGTCATTCCGGTGCTTGATCCGTTCAACCTGTCAGCTTGTGTTGATTTGTTGATTAGCCTGTTGCAGTCAGCCCATGACGTGCTGCTGAGGCGGTGGTGAAGGCTTTGAACCACATTTTCGTGACAATGATCGAGAAGCCACTGACCTGGTTCATTCCGGAATGGGCTGCAAAGGGCCGCGGGGAGTTCAAAGGCAGCAAGATGTTTGGCATCGCATTGCCACCGGTTGACGAGACACCGTTGTTTCGCACAGTTCCCAGGCTGTCATTTAGTAATGATGCATGCTCCAAGCCCTAACCGTTAACCATGTTGTGTGACGATTGTAGGTATCCGACGAGGAGTCTTCACAGACAAAAGCGTTCCACTTTCTCTTTTCGCATGTGGGGTGCAGAGGGCTGACGCAGCCAGAAATCTCGCATCCAAAATGGAATTCCTTCAAGAGGGCAGCGGCCAGCAGCAATCTGGAGTTCGACCTTCTTCGCTTGACGGTGTGTGCCAACTACGCGCATGGCCCGTGGACGAATGGGGACCGGTTGGTGCTCAAGCAGCAGGCACTTGAAAGCTACCTTGACAAACAGTCTGAAGATTGGTTCAGGGACATGGCGGAAGAGATTGCGCGAGACATTGGAGAATCGGAAGTGCTGTCGGAAGAGCAGGCGCGAGGCTCGATGTCCGATTTCCTCGATTCCGAGGCAGTACGCAATCGAGGCGCCTTCGTCAAGTCCAAGGCGTGGTTCGGGATTATCACCGCGCTTCGAAGCTTGGTGAAACACTGGACAATCCAGCGGGAAGCTTCGACAGCGATCATGGTTGAGACGGGCGGAGACGACGAGGATGCCAAGCATCACGACGACGACGAGCAGGGCGATGCCGATGCTCCTCGCGACCCTCAACCACCCAAGAAGTGGACAAAGGCGGACCTCTACCGTGCGTACAGCGGTCGTGGACCGCATGCGATGAACGCAGATTTCTTGAATGACCCGGACTTGCGGAGCAAAGCTGTACTGATCATCCATGTGACAGCCCCTTTGTGTCTTGCTTTGTAATGAAACTCATGTGCTTTGTTGGGGGGGCAACGTGCGCATCATTCATTCGGATCTATGATCTGAAGTTCTGGGTTTTCGGTTGGTGGGAAAGAAGGACAAAAGGAGGCATGATTATTCCTGATGATGTAGTCGTTGGGGAGGAGTTCAGTTCATCTTAACTATACAGTTTCGGTGGCAGTGTTTCCTTGATGTGAGTGATCATGGTAGCTTAAGTTAAGTTGATTTGCTGTGTCATTGCTAAGGCACGCAGCATACGCGGAAGACCTGGCCGCACAACAAGGTGAACCGGAGCAACAGATGCAGTGGATTGCTGGCCGTGCGACAGGAGATGGTTTGGATGTGGTGACGAGCATCCTGAACAGTGTGGCGTCGCCTCAGCTCAGTCGAGAAATGCGCTTGGCTCCTCCTTGCAACCCGCCCTTGGATGTTGACAACACCTACCTGGCCGATGATGTCAGGATGCTCCAAACGGCATTCGACTTTGCAGCCAATTTGGCGTCAAATGTGCTATGGGGCCAGCTTCTTTACCAGCACACTTTGCCCTTGGCGGGTGCATCGCTCTTGGCAGAGGAAGAGGCAACCATAATATTTTGCAATGTTTAATAATCCTAGGTTTTTGTTGAAGCTGATGTGTTAGCTTTAGTTGTGCCGGAGAGTCCACCCCCCCCCCGGCCCCCGGAGCATGTCCCGGAGCCCCGACCAGGATCAACGCAAGAGGGCCATGCAGCATTTGAAGCAGCTAGTTTCGGTTGTGGTGAAAGCAGAAGACCTTGTCGCGAAGGGACCTTCGCCAGTGGAAGAAGTTTTGCAGACATTGGCATGGCCAGACGAGACGCTAGCCAGAGAAGTGATGGTTCGACTTCATCGTTCAGAGTACAAAGCTGAAACAGAGGAAGGGTTTGAGCTCCGACGGCTGTTGCTGCGTACCTTCCTGGGCAGCAGCAGCACGAAGGAAGTGCTCGAGAGCACATTTGCACATCTGCATGACATCTCAGCCAGGCATGCGAAGAACGCAAAGATGTGTATGCGTGGGGTTTGGTTTTACTCCGTGGCATCACCTTACACGACTCGGGAAACATGTGGCATGCCACAGTACAAGCCAAGTCATGCTGACTGGGTGAAGTGGCGTGGTTTCTACGGGTCTGCCAGGGACCGCTTCATGAAGCGGTTCAACAGCGCCTTGAGCGTGAATTCTACAGAGCTTCCTCGTGGACGTGAACTCCCGATCAGTCCGAATGGTGTGAAAAAAACAAAGTGGCGCATGGCAGGGCCTCTGAGCCATTACCGCAGCTCCTCAGCCATGTTGTACCTGCTGGAGGATTCTGGCAATGACTTTGTCAACTGCCATTTGGCGTGGGCCGGCGCATTCCTGAGATGCGGGCAGTTCTATTGCCACAAGGAGATGTTCACTGTTTGTTTTGCATGTGGTGTCCCTAGTCAAAACATTTTTTGGTGATAGAGTTGTCGGGTCCAGAATGCAACAGATGCTGTGCACTATGCAGGATAACGAGTCCTTCATGCTGTGCTTGGGCTTCAATGGCTGGTGCGCTATTGGTGTTGACATCTTGCCAGAGGAGGTGGATGGCCGTGAGTTCTTGACAATGAACCGTCGCCACCTCAAGGGTCCAGTGCGTGTGATGTTCAACTTCGACTGTGCAGAGGACAGTTGCTGTTGGGCTCATGTTACCGTGCAAGTGCTACCCCCAGCCTCTTTGCCTCCAGAGCTGGTGGACTGTGGAATGGCCTTCGAAATCCTGGACCGAAGCGGCTGGATCTTGCGGGACGCCCTGGCGAGTGGGATGCAGCTCACTGTGGACAGAGTGCGGTCGGCGTGCCAAGCCATCGGTGCTGAACTTCCCCGCAAAGGCTGCGGCTCCGGTAAGAATGGCAACATCATCAAAGTTGATTGGGTTTCGTGCTTGGTCGCTGCGGTCTTTCGAGACTCAAGTGAAGCGGAACGAGCCGCCATCGAAGACCAAGTCATGGGCAAGCAGCAGAAACCTGTTGATGTGGGGGTGTTGGCAGCTATCTCCGAGCTCGATTCCGACAACGCGCAGGCATTCAAAGACATCAAGAAACGTGCTCAGGAGATGTTCGAGGATGCAGTGTACGGACAAGGTGTCAAGCAAGGCTTGCGCCGCATGTTGGATGACGAGCCCGATGAGGAGAAGCGCCGGCAGAATTTTCGCAAGGCAGCTGATAACGCCGACAAGAAGCAGGCACAGAAGGCTGAAGCGGATCGCCAGCATGCTGAGCGACAGTTTCAGCTGACTCCGCCTGACCTGAAGAGCCTGCTTCCGGGAGGCGGTGAAATGGCTGGAGTATGCTGGGCGCGGTACAATCCGTTTCAGCAGTGGTTCTCAGTGCAGTATCCTGTGGGTCACTGGGTTTGGTTCGGTGCTCTTTTCATTGGTGTTTTCTGTGTGTAGACGAAAACTACGTAACGAGTCTGTTCCGAATCTGGTGGCTGTGTTTTCCTCAATGTTCAGGTGCTGCTGAGCTACAGGATTCCATGCAGCGCAAATGGAACACTGCGCGTTGTCCCACCAGGCTTGACGCATTGAGATGTGTGCTGGAGTTCGCCTATGCTCGATGGAATGCTCTCAACCCTGGCACACCGCATACCATACCTACGGATGCAGAATTGCAACGGTACTTGGACACGCTTTGAACACGCTTTGAGCTCTGCTTGCCGCCAAAAAAAGCCTCTCAAGACTCATGACCGATTGCTTTGGAAGCCTGGAATAAGCCCCCCTCTTGTCTCTCACATGGACTCGAGTCGGCGAAAAGTCATTTCGCATGGACAGATAAAATAGCAGTGGAATAGGGCTTATTTTTTACTCATGCTTATTCCTGCACTATTCCTGTACTATTCCTGCACTATTCCGAAGAGCCCAGAATAAGACCTTATTAAGCAGCTAATAAGGCTCTATTCTGGGTATAGTTTGGGGAGGGGAGTAGTGCGGGGGTGAGTAGACGATTCTGTGAAAATAATAAACCCCACCTCGATGCGCCTTGGAGCCCTGAAGGAGTTTCGCCACTTCCCTGGCTCTATCCTGATGACCTCGAACTGCCTGATGCCCCCCATGGGCACCGTGGCAGAAAGGGAGAAGTGGACAAGCGGGCAGAACCCCAACTAGACTTTTGGGCGTTTTTGGTTGTGCGATGGATTTACGTTTAAGGGTTTAGATTCGATGAGTCCAACTGTCCACAGCACCTGGATCAATTACCTTGCTTGGCCCGTTCCCGGGCGAGGGTACTGGGTCTCCTTCTGTCAGTTACGTTGACATGAACTTGTGTGCCTTAATGGTGCCCATCTGTCTATCTACCTATCTGCTATCTATCTCGTGGCCAGGGCCCAGCAGCATGAAAACAGAGTAGAGAGTTAACGAGGCCCCACCATATTCAAGACCTGAATTTCCAGATTCCACAGCCCTGAACCCTTGACTTTAATTTAGTGCCTTCGCCAGCACCCTGAACAAGACCTGAGCCCTAAAGACGCTTTCTATAGGGGTTCCTTATTATAAATATAGTGCAATCGGCCCCAAAACCCTATTCTAATCATTAAGGCCCTATCTTAAAGAGCCCTTATAGGACCCTGTTAAAGGACCCGTTTAACGGAACCCTCTTCTAACTATGAAGGCCCATATGTTATAAAGCCTCAGGCAAGTACAGGGATCGCATTTGGACCACGGGACCCGTGGGCTTCGATGCCGTGCCGAACGTGGTCAGCGAAGACTTTACGGCAACTCCGGCGGATTCGATGTTGGGATCATTGTGGTTTAGGGTTTAGGGCTTAGGGTTTAGGGTTTAGGGTTTAGGCTTAGGCTTAGCCTCCTAGTACCTACCTTCCTTCGGATTCTTGATTGTGATTCCATTGTATTATAAATTGGAAATCCTTGAAGAGGTAGTTCTTCGGTGGCTATGGTAAGTTTAGGTATAAGGGCTAAAAGGCTTAGTATCATGACTTATAATAATCGTAGTAATCATACTAGTAATAATAGTACTAAAGACCTAAACCCTAAACCCTAAACCACAATGATTACAACGAGTTGAGGCTGAGGGGCTCCGCTGGGTTTCGTGGCGTTCAGTCTTTGGGATGGTGGTCAAAGTCGCTTGGGGGGTTGAGAGGTTTAGGGTTTAGCGGTTTGAGGTTTTAAAGTTTAGGGTTTGGGGTTTAAGGTTTAGGGTTTGGGTTTTTGGTGGTCAAAGTCGCTTGGGGGGTTGAGAGGTTTAGGGTCTAGGGGTGTGGGGTTAAGGGTTTGGGGTTGAGGGCTTAGGGTTTGGGGGGTTTAGGGTTTGGTGCTTGTAGGGTTTGGAGTTTTGGGTTTGGCCTCATGGAAGTCTTTTTGTTTTTTGTGACTCGGCTAGTGTAGGAGTCTGCATAATTAGAACAATGCCCGCTTGTTGTCTCTGGTCGTAATATTGCTCAATATCTCCCGACACCATACTCTACTTATCCAGCCGCTACTACAACCTCCGATGTCGAAGTGTTTTTTGTTGATCGTTCTCTGTGGGACTGGCCTACAGCCAATCATGCAAGTTGGCAGACGCGAGCATGCAAACTCTTCCAGAAACCGCCAAAGCAAACATGCAAGCAGTTCTGGTTTTGGGAACGTCGTACACGTGTAAAATACGCACCATTCGTAGAAATTCGCCAGGCGATTATCGACCAAGCTCTGAAGCAATCCGTCGAGATCAAGGTGCCTCGGATTCCTGCACACAGATTCTCGCGTTCAGGTTCGGGGCTTAGTTACATTGCGCAATTCCCTAGATATGAGGATCAATACTGAGTCAACAGTCGGCCTCCGTACCCTACACCCTATACCCTAAACCTTAAACCCCAAACCCTCACCCGGAAAGCCAAGCCCTGATGTGTCGCCCTTTCCGGCACGGTCCGTCGAAAGGAGCTGCGGGGATATGTTGCTCTAGCTTGATGGCCCCAGCTGTCCTTTTGAGCGTTTCCGAAGCTCCTTGACCCTAAACCCAAAACCCTGTACCCCAAGACCGAAAACCTAAACACGAAACCCCAAGATCGTGACCCCAAACCCTAAACCCAAGACCAACACCCAAGCCCGAAGTCAGGAGCTTCTACAAGATCGACTCTGTTAGCTCGGGCTGTTTTATCGATGTGTTTGCCGTGTTGGGTTTGTTTGGTGCATTTTATTGGTCGTTTGTTTTGGGGTGGGGCATGATTTGTATGGGTATGTCGGCACCATCAGCATATACGTTTACTAGTTTTCCGATTGCCTTAACTATCTACTGTCAGAGGTTCCAGCTGTGCGGGCCTATAAATCGAAACCTAGCACCCTAAATTCCAAGCCCTAACCGCTAGGTCCTAACCCCAATAACCTAAACCCTAAAAACCTAAATACACCAAATACCCTAATACCCAAAGCCTAAACCCTGATACCTTAAAAAATACTCTAAGACCCTGCAAACCCCAATACCCTACGACCCTTAACCTTAATAAGAGCCTAAATACTACCCCAAAAGAATTAAAATAAAATAAAGTAATACTCAAATCCCTAATTTGCTAATACCCCTAAGACCCCAAGCAATAAGAGCCTAAATACCCACCCCCCCCCAAAAAAAATGAAAGACTCAAATCCCTAATGTGCTAGTACCCCTAAGACCCCAAGCCCCGGAAGCCCCATAATCCAGAGACCCATATGAGGTCCCCCGCTCGGGCGAGTTGCCCAACCGCGAGCTTCAGGTTCGCACGGGTTTTTTCGAGCGTTGGTCCATAGTGTAGAACTTGGGTGGGCATACGTCCCAATAGTCTGTTTCTTTTTGTGGTCTTTTGGCAATTTGGGGTGTTGCTTTCGGACTTCGGGGGAGCCAGGCTCATACCCAAAACGACTCTGAAGGCTGTGGGTCTCCCAGGGTCTCCCCGGAGATTGGGTGAATATGAGTGACGGTCTGGCCAGGTACTTGAGGCGTTTTCGGTTGCGGGGGGTGAGCTTGGGGGGATGGGTTTGTAGCATGAACTGACATGAGATGTCATTTGCAAAAAAAAGGTGGTTTGAGAATATAGGGGAGTGGTCGGACGGAAGCCCTCAGGCAAATTATGATATGATTCGAGTACGAAGAATCTTAATTACCAGCAATATACCCCCTGAAACCCTACTCTGGGTGGTGAGGCCCCTGTGCTACATCTCAGCATGGTACCAATTGTACTTTCAGGGTTCTTGTTAAGTTGTTAAGAACTTAAGCTATCATAATAGGGATCTATAGTAGATCTTATAGTTTCCTTATTATGGTACGGTAAACTCGATCCCTTAAGTAGGACCCAGCTTTGCTAACGCATCCTGAGGTGTGCTTCGGGCACCCTGGAGCTCTTTTACCTAGTCTTGGTCCACCTAGCCAAACGACTCGCGCCATGAGCCGTGTGCAATGTGTGTGTGTGTGTCGTATTGAATACGGTTTTGGGGCATAGTAAATATTGATAGCATTTCTAATTTAACACTTCCGGCTTCCCTTTTGGGTTGTCAATTTTTTTTATGATGGCTTCCTCGCGAAATCTTTCGGTTTCTCTTCCACGGTTTGGGCCGAGAGTTCCTGGCCGGGACTTGGGGAATTCCTACCGATAGCAGTGGACAATCTCTTGAGGCCTGCTTAGGTGTCAGAGGCGATCTGTGATTTGTGTGTTTGCCGGCTTCGGGCGATAAACTACAAGATACCGCAACAAACCATGGCCTATAGTAATAATATGCCATAATATACCGTAATGCACAATAGCATACTACGATATACTACATTATACCATAGCATACATAACGGGCCATAATATGCTACACTGCACGATTCCCAACCAGAGCCTTGGACAATCCTCTCAGATTGGTTTCGGCCACGCTGCGGTTTTGGGAGTCTTGGCTGTGAAGTACGTCACATATCATAAAAGCAAAACAGATAGGATGCAATACAGGTTGGGTAGGTATATTATTGTGATTACATGAGTTTGTATCTTGCTGCTGCAGAGAGGTTTGTGCCAACGCTCCTCGCATGCAGGGTTTAGTATTTGTAGTAGTAGAGAAGTATATTAGGAATCACAAGGGAGCAAGCATGATAATACTAATGCTTTTTGCAACAATTATGATGAGAGTAATGCTAATATCGACTATATATATATATATATATATACATGCATACATATGTGTGTATATATATATATATATATATACAGACAGGAGGATCGTCGGTGCGTCAAGGCAGTTGCGTCCTAAAGTTTCTGGTGCGGTGCAGGACTTGCCAAAGCCGGGAGTGTCAACGTTTTAAGCGACCCAACATCTTTGGAGGCGAGCTTTCGCATACGCTACGCTTCACAGGTACACATGACAACATGGCGAGGCTGCCGAGGAGTAAACACAGTAGCATCAGCCCACAACCCCTAAACCCAAACCCGAAGGCCAAGCTCTACAGCCCAAAACTGTTCTGTTGCTCAATGTAACATTTTGGGGAGTCCTTAGTATAAAGACAGTATAATAAATACAGTAGAAAGAATAATGGGCTCCAAAACCCTGTGCTAATCATTAAGGCCCCTATATTAGTCTTATTCGCAACTCCGACTGACGGAGCTCAGGTGTGGCCGACAAGGTGGTTGAAGCCATCAAAGGCTGGCACAGATGTATGTCTCTTCCGGCTTTAAAGGCACCTTCATGTGTACTGGTACAGCTATTATTCTGAATATGGTTATTCAGTTCACTATGAGTTTTGTCAGTATTGTTGTTAGCATTGGTTGCAGCAGCGGGGCTATCAGTAGTATGCACCCGACTGGAAGCCAGACACATGAAGGCTATGCGCCATTGCTAAGGGATTTCGCCGGGGTGATGGGGGGTTAGGCTTGAGAGCTTAGGGTTTATCGGGCCGCTTTCACTAATTGCATATCTTGACACGCCGACCCCTACACCCTAAACCCTGTAGTTGTGAAACGCTTAGTCCACTTTGAATCCCGAACGACATGTGCCACAGGCTAGCTTGGTCACTATTGCTGATGGACCGGGTTCTGCATCTTCCTTCCAAACAACTATACTGCAAAGTGGGCGTTTGAACAATCACAGAGTTCTATCCATCAGCAGCCCAAAGGGAAGCCGAGCTAGGTTTAGGGTTTAGGGTCATCGTTAATATCCAGAATCCTGAACGCAGAAACGCAATATACCTGGCCAGCAATGCTCGAGCGCCTTGAGGAGTATGGATGGCAATTGATCCGAAGCCTAAACCTAAACCCCTAGACTCCAAGCCTTGCTGCAAACCACAAATCCGACACCTGAACCCTACACCCTAAACCCTAAAACCCTAAATCCCGAAGCGCCGAAGCACTGCGACGTCGGAAACGCGAACACATAGAAATGGAAGCGGGGTCGGCCTTTCCTTGCGAGTGTGGGGACTTGTTTGGGGCTTGTGGGTTTCATGTTTCGAGCACAGTGTCCGGTGTATAGGGTTCAGGGTGCAGGGATTTAGGACTTAGCGTTTTTCCACATGATCTCTGTACCACTAATAATTGAGGCTCCTCTAGACGAAGTGTACGTGCTACCGCAAAGTTGAGGCCCGAGAGACGTAGCCCATCATAGGGCAACTGGCCTTATAGGACTCGGTAGATGGCACGGGTACAAGTTACGCCTAGTGCCTCAATCAGCGCCTGTGCAAAATGCAGCGACTGGCAAACAGCTACAGTCTTGCAGTCGCAACTTTCAAAGGCCAGGGTTTCGCCTGACGCAATTATGTTCAGGGCAAGCATCAGCTCATGTGCGAAAGGTGGTCAGTGGCAGATGGCATTGTCCGTGTTGTCGTTCATGCCGGTTGCCAGGAGTGCACCTGACGTAATCAGTTTCAACGCTTGCATCAGTGCATGCGGGAAAGGTGGTCAGTGGCAGCTGGCATTGTCCCTGTTGTCGCAGATGCCGGTTGCCAGAGCTCCACCCAACACGATCAGTTTCAGCGCTTGCACCAGTGCATGCGAGAAAGGTAGTCAGTGGCAGAAGGCACTGTCCCTGTTGTCGCAGATGCCGGTTGCCAGAGCTCCACCCAACACGATCAGTTTCAGTGCAGGCATCAGTGCATGCGAGAAGGCTGGTCAGTGGCAAAAGGCACTGTCCCTGTTGTTGTTCATGTCGGTTGCCAGAGTTGCACCTAACGCATTTAGTTTCAACGCGTGCATCAGCGCATGCGAGAAAGGTGTTCAGTGGCAGATGGCGCTGTCCCTGTTTTCGCAGATGCCGGTTGCCAGAGCTCCACCCAACGCGATCACTTTCAACGCTTGCATGAGTGCATGCGAGAAGGCTGGTCAGTGGAAACAGGCACTGTCCCTGTTGTCGTTCATGCCGGTTGCCAGAGTTGCACCTGACGTAATCAGTTTCAACGCTTGCATCAGTGCATGCGAGAAAGGTGGTCAGTGGCAGAAGGCACTGTCCCTGTTGTCGCAGATGCCGGTTTCCACAGCTCCACCCAACACGATCACTTTCAACGCTTGCATCAGTGCATGCGAGAAAGGTGGTCAGTGGCAGAAGGCACTGTCCCTGTTGTCGCAGATGCCGGTTGCCAGAGCTCCACCCAACACGATCAGTTTCAGTGCAGGCATCAGTGCATGCGAGAAGGCTGGTCAGTGGCAAGAGGCACTGTCCCTGTTGTCGTTCATGACGATTGCCAGAGTTGCACCTGACGTAATCAGTTTCAACGCTTGCATGAGTGCATGCGAGAAAGGTGGTCAGTGGCAGATGGCGCTGTCCCTGTTGTCGCAAATGCCGTTTGCCAGAGTTGCACCCGACGTAATCAGCTTCAGCGCTTGCACCAGTGCGTGTGGAAGAGCCCGCCAGTGGCAGATGGGCTTGTCCCTGTTTTCGTCTATGGCATCTCGAACCTTGAGACCAGAAGAAGGGTCTTACGCGCAAGCATTGGATGCTGTTTTCACAGAGGTTGTCAGCTTCGAGCTGTTCCGAAAAGCTCTAGAAGACCGAGCCTGGCCAGGAATGTTGGCCAAAGGCGAAGCCCAACTTGACCTTCACTTTCATTCACCGGGATCGGCGATGCTTGCCGTGCTCTGGTGGTTGGCCGAGGTCGTACCTGAGAAGCTGGCCATTCGCCACAGCGCCTCGTCCTTTGAGATCATCACTGGCTGGGGGAAATCGCGCAACAGCTGGCAGAGCGCGGATGTTCAAGTTTCCGTGCTCAGCCTGCTGGCAAACTGTGGCATACCTAGCAAGATCCACCCTCTGGATCAGGGAAGGGTTAAAGTAGATTTAACGGGAGAGAAGCCAGAGAGACTGCATGCATTCTTCCCAAGCAGTGCCCGAAAAAGCGGCTGCCTGATGACTACAGCAGCGAGCGGATAGTCCAGCCCTAAACAGGCGTTTGAGGGTTTTGCGCCCAAAGCCGCCAACCGGAACTTCTCCGGAATTCGCACAGGTGGGGTGGTGGTGATGGTGGTGGTGCTGGTGGTGCTGGTGGTGGCACGCCCCAGTGCACAGCGCTTGCTCGCGTGCATGTTCTCTCCGATTTGTTATTATTGTTGTCGTCGTCATGATGCCCCAGTGCTGTGATGACGAGCCCCCGTGTACTGCAATGGCTGTTGCTCACATGCCTTAGCCCGACGCCTCGTTGATCAAGCCGCCACCCAATCATTAGGCGATGGCGGTCGATAAAGATTCTGAAGCCTGAACCCTGATGAGGCGACGATTGATCACAAGTTTAACTTGCGGTTGGTCACATCTGCTAAACCCACGCCCTCACTAGTCACTAGTCGACGGCGTTCGTTCATATCTTTGAGACTCGTCCTTGATCATGTTTTCGCATTCGCACCCTCAGCAGGCGATGGCAGTTGATCACATCACTCTTCGAGCCTGCCCCCTGACTATGCGATGGCGGTTGATCCGGCCATTCCGTCACTAGGCGATGTCGGTTCACACCATCTCTGAAACCGGCCCTCTCATTGGGCGATGGTGGTTCATCACATCTCTTAGGCCCTTCCTCTTATTCGGCGATGGCCTCCCGCCCTCTCAGTAAGCAGTGGCAGCTGACAGGTCTGAAACTCGCCGCATCATTATCGTCGAGAAGCAGAAAAAGCCAAGAAGCCAAAAACATACAACACAAGAACAGCCAACGAGTACCAAGCAATCCAATATAGTCGCAACATCGAAATGCTACTGGGTCGACATGAAGCGGCTTCAGCAGCATCAGCAGCAGCAGCAGCAACAAGAGCAGGCGTAGTAGTTGTTGTACTGCTATCGTCTATGCTCCTATTGCAAGACCCTTAGGTTGTGTCGCGCGGCGAGAAAGCGCAAGCTGAGAAGCCTTCATAAAATGCAAGCCCCGTACCCCTTCTTAAGCACCTTCAGTGGCTGATCCACACTTACCCAAAGCATCCTGTCGCGTGAGGGTCTGCGGGTCTACAACAATCATTGAGCCAGACTTTCTTGGCATAGCAGGGAGGAGGAAGGGCAGGACTGAATCAGAAGGAGAGAATTCATGATATCCCTCATCGTCCCGACAGCTTGTAAACGCATAATATACATACCTCAAACAACCTTGTGCTGATTACTGCCACCCCTAAACTACCCATTAACAGTGCCCACTTTTTAAGAGGTGGACAGCTGAAGCACGTCTTCGTCATCGGAGGCGCGGCTGCTGAGGGATTTTCCGGCTTCGGGCTCATTGGTGACCGAAGCTTTTGTGGGCTTCGTGGTGGAGGGTTGAGGGGGTTAGGGGTTTAGGGTTTAAGGGTTTGGGGTTAAGGGTTTAGGGTCTAGGGCTTAAGGGTTTAGGGTTTAAGGATTTGGGTTTCGGATTTGAGGGTTTATGCTGGAGCGGGGATCATTTGAAACTCGACGCGGATGCCCGGGATCAATGGGACATGCCACAATGCCCAAACTTGAGATCCCAATACCACATAACAAGTAAGGACTGTGACCTTAAGCTTCAATCATAATATTAAGCCCCTGGAGTTTAAGGTATATTTCTTAATTTAAGGTATATTTCTTAGTCAAGGGGTATTGGGATCTCTGTGTCTCGCAGGTTGCGATGGAACCGAAGGCACGCGGAGCTACTTTACCGATCTCGCGGCCGATACTCCCGTGCCCCGGCAGCCTCACAAGTGAGCATCACCGGTTCAGGGTTTAGGTTTCAGGATCAAGGGAATAGTTAAAGTTGTAAAAATAGTAACAGTGATACGAATAGACAGAGTAACAGGTCTGAGATGGACAACTGGACGACCCAACTTTTAGGCGCCATATCCGTAATCCTCGGGTGACATTCGCTGGGAGGTTCGGCGATGCTTCTTTAATAGTGGTACATCAGGGTTCAGGATCGCGGGTGGACATGAAGTGTCTGTAGAGTGCGAATTTTCAGATGTCTTGGATCCCGTGTCCATTGAGTACATAAGCTGTACTTAGCTGAGCACCTGTTGGCTGTTGACCTTGAAAAGCAATGATCTTGGCAATTTTGAAGCCGTGTCTCATGTGCGAGTGTAATTCCCCTTTGTTCCGCTACACTTTACCTTGGCCCGCACTTTGTAATGTAGGGGGCTTACATGTTTAATTAGAACAGGGATGAATAGGGTTTTGGGCTCCTTAATACTTCAATTATGATAACGAGCCCTAAGGAATAATATTGGCAATTATCTAGGCTTCTACATTACTGAACGTGTCTTGCGTGGCTGCGCAAAACCCTAAACCCTAAACATCCGAGGATGACTCGATCATCTTGACCCTGGGCTGTGGCAAGTTCCGACTGAACGGCAGGGACTATGGCACCATCGGGGGCATTCCCCGCGCCTCGTCAAGATTACCCTGCTAAGCAAAGATGATGAGCATTGACTTGCGGCCTGCCTGCCGGAAGGATAGTAGCCCAAGGGAGCTGGGTCCTGAACCCAAGAATTGAAGACTGAACCCTAGTTCCGAAGGCTTGCTTGACGTCGGTCAGTGCAACGACGCCTATGGTGCAGTTGTCATTGCGACAAAGCTGGCCGAAGCCCTGGGGTGCTGCTGGCTTTGGTTTTATTGGTTTCATTCGTTCTGCTAAGGGTGTGAAATTTGGGTTTAATTTGGGATTGGCGAGGGGTTGTTCTCAGCATGAGTTCCGTGCAGGTGCTTGCTCAGCTAGGAAGTGTAACTTTCAGCAGCAACAACAACGACCGGCAGCGTCACGAGAAACTGCGGCTGTCAAATCCACACCTGCATCTGCAGATTCATGAGCAACAAACAGGATAAATGGCAACAGTGGCAGCAGCACCATCGCTGTGCACCACCCTCACCGCGTCACAAAGTCAAGCGGTTAGCAAAGCTGGCGACGTTCGGTCATGGAAGTACCTGACAACAATGCGCATCATCTCCGTCGCAAGCATCACCATCAGTATCAGCAAAGTGAGATCGTACCATGACACAAGCAGCATTGCCATCCACGGGTATGCCGCAGAAGGAACCTCACAAGTAGTGACGGGGATAAGATGCCACCCCTAAACCCTACCTTAACCCCAAATAACCTACCTTTCGAGGGACTTATAGAAAGAAATCAAATTAGGGGGCCCGAAAAAGGTAGGTTCCTTATAGGGTCCAGGTAAAGCCTAAGCCCCAATTCCTGAAAGTGCCTGCGTGCCAGGTGTGGTGTGCACGACTTGCCCCTGCACTTTGCTGTGTCCTGGTTCGAGCAGAAGGCTCCAACGGGCTCAGGGACAAAGATCAAATGACATATATATATATATATATATATATATATATATATATAGACTATCTATATATATATATATGTATATATATATATATGTGTATATATATATATATATACATATATATACATATATATATATATATATTTGTATATATTTGTATATATATATATATGTATATATATATATATATATATATATATGTATATCACTCCTGGAGGGTCCTTACAAGTTGATGACGATCAGTATGGTACAAGTCTCCCCGAAACCCTCTTCTAGTTCTCGTTCGGTGTTCTTCGGTGGAGCCGCCTCTAGCATCCTGTCGGTGAGACATGACGAAATTCGCCTGATTGATGTTGACAACTCTGCTGCTTTGCAAGATGCCTGCTACATCATATCTCGCTGCAGCACATAGCTACTGACGTCCGTGACGGCATGCCTTCAACCCCAGTTTTGCCTCCAACCCGCGTGCGAGCGTCTTGTGTGTGTGTGTGTGTTAGTGGCTGCCTGGCTGACTGACTGTGTCTGTGTGCGCCTGCACCTCTGAGCCCTGATCAAATCCAAACACAACGAAAAGCTCTACAACCTGGAAACCTTAAACCTTGAACCCCCAAAAAGTCCGTGGACCGACTCGAACCCAAGGCCCTAAACCAAAAAGCCTCCAAGCCTCAACCCTAAAAGCCCTAGTCCTTTCAACCCTGAAAGGAATTCAAGAGGGCGCGCAGGGTACCTTTGGGGGTTCCCTTGCAGGGTGCCTGTTATATAAAGGAAACAATGCCTTCAACGCCACTCCTTCCAAGTCGGTTGTTCCTGGAGGCCGTCGCCGTCTTGCTGACGTTGCTTCATCTTGAGCTGCACCTGGGCTTAGGGTTTAGGGTTTAGGGCTGCTTAAGGTCGTTTAGGAGTTGAGGGCATCGCAGGGTTTTTGATCGGTTTTACAGGGCTGCACAGTATTTTCTGAGACTGTATAGGTGATTGTAGGATGTTTTTACAGGGAGCTTGTAAAGGTCTTACGAGGGGCTACACCTTGAGCTGCACGTGGGCTTCAATCCGTTTGTCGCCTCGTGGTGGCTTCTTCCTTACCAAGAGGGTTCATATATACTCCTATTCTGGAAGAAGGGAAACCATAGTAGGGATGGTCTTTTGGGACCTAACTCCATGATGGTAGTATATATGGACCCTCTGGGTTAGAGATAGGGATTTGTTGGTAGGCTAGGGTCGATATAGGTTTATGGGGGGGGATACAAGGACTTGTATGGGCTTCACAAGGGGCCTCTCAAAATTGGGGGTCCCTTCTAGGGTTTCTGCGCTAAGGATGTCATTGCTCGGGTCTACAGTCCGCCATTCTCAAAATACACCTAGAAAGTCCGATGTACCATCTATGTATTTTGTGTATACTCCTTGTGAAATCCTGGATGTTCGCAGCCGGAGCTTTACGCGGAAAAAGGAAAATCTTTACAGGCTGAGGAGACCTGCCTCCTTCTGCCGCCTAGCTGTTATCACGATCATTATTGTACACTGGTTCTTATAATGGCTATTATTGTTGTTGTTGTTGTTGTTGTTGTTGTTGTTGTTGTTGTTGTTGTTGTTGTTGTTGTTGTTGTTGTTGTGAGTATTGTTACTACTCTGGTTATGATGGCTAATTGTAATCGTTATTAATATAACTGTTAGTACCATTATGATTCATGATTGTTATAACCAATCCAAGATGCTCCTATTGTGGAATCAGGGCCCCCCCCAAAGCATATTAGGGATGGTCTTTGGGGACCTAATTCCATGATGGTAGTATATATGGACCCTCTGGGAGTATTTTTGTTTTGTGTGGTTTCGGATCGCGTGGCTGGAAGTCCCAAATGCAGGTTGGTAGGTTCTTCAGCGGAGGGGTTATCTACGAGGGACCCTTCTGTTTGCTCAGTCTTGAAATCTGGAGGTTTAGGGGTAGTGTAAGGTTTTAGGGTTTAGGGCTAGTGTAAGGGTTTAAGGTTTAGGGTTTGTGTAGGGGTTTGGGGTTTAGGGTTTGTGTAAGGGTTTAGGGTTTTTTGGAACATCAAGGACCTCGTCCAACAAAGCTCTCATTTACTCTAAGCCCCAAAAGCTGATCTTAACAGCTTTCTGGAAGGACAAGCAATCCTTTGAGGTTGAAGGAGGGTTTAGGGTTCAGGGTTTAGGGAACAAGCCCTGCCGCCTTCGACAAAGCCACAGTTGTCTGCTTTCGAGGGTTTTGAGTTCAGGGTTGAGTCTGCTTTGACAAGGAAGAACATCCGCTTGGGCCCAAACCTACCGGCCTTCATCACACCCAAGGCTCGCGGGGCGTTGTGGGTGGAGTAGATTCCCCGGTTTCTTTTTAATGGACGCAGTCGTCGTAACCCTAAACCATAAACTCTAAACCCTAAAACCCTAAACCATAAACCCTAATGTCCGTTTCTGATTCGGCATCCTTCTGCAGGATGGATCCCCAAATGCCGTCCCTTAACCTTTGAGGGTTTCAGGTTTAAGGCGGACCTATCTCCCTGGACCCACCAAGTCCTGAATCATCCTGAATTTGTTGAACACGGAAACTCTAGTCTCCAAGTTCCCCAAATCCCTGAAGAGTTTCGGATCGCAGAAGATGGTCTCATACTGAATGCTAAGAAGCTTGCAGCAGCATTGCGAGCTGCCCTTGGCAGTTCCAGTTTGTTCTCAGATTAATGCGGCTGGCATTTTCGATAACCGTGTTGCAGCATGTTTTGCTGCTGATCTGATGATGCCTGCCGCCTTTGCTTTGCTGTTACTCTTGCATACAGCTCCCTCTACTGCGGCCGCATCTGAGCTACTGCTGCTGCTGCTGCTTAACTGGCAATGCCTGCACGCTTCACACTCCCATCTCCACATTCTGAGGCTACCCTAAAACCCCAAAGCCTAAACCCTAAAACCCTGAACCCTAAAACCCTAAAACCCTAAACCCTAAACCCTGCCCAATTCTGGTTAGGTCCTCGCGGTCCTCAACGAGAAGTTCGGCCTGAAGCCTGCCAACATACATGCTGAGGATGAGGACCCGATGCTCAAGCTCATACGGGCTGTTGTCAAAATTATGGTCCCTTTTTGGGTACCCATGTAGATCCCTTTTAAGGAACCCTAGGATTCATATCGTATTTTATGGGAGGACATGGCAAATAGCTATTTGTACATCGGGTATCGCTTAATTACTATTTGCAGATTCAGTCTGTCGAAGTGTGTCCATTGGCCCTAAACCCTAAACCCTGTCAGCGTCCACAAACCCTAAGCCCTACTTCCACAACTTTATGCTGATGCTAATGCAGCCGGAGCTTCTGTTACTGCGGTTGATGATATAAATCCTGCATTACCTTAAGGACCCTAGACTAGAGGAATTATGGTATCTTCCCTATGGTTGGTAATGCAGGGTTTATATCATCAGCCGTAGTAGACACTACTCCTCCTTGCTGGTACTACGACGGCTGCGACGACTCACGACATCACCTGTCACTCCGTGGAACAGCTGCAGCGAATATCATTTCCATTGGTGGCAGTTTCTGTCTCCAAACATGTCATACATACCCGCACTTCATGAGTGCTGAAAGAGTTCGTCGTTCTCACACCGTGAGCCCTACCTGGCTGCAGCGGCAGCAAGAAGTTCCGACGTATTTGTCAACTAATATCAACTATCCTAAGGAACCCTCAGCCTCTAAACCTGCGTACCCTAAGCTGCTAAAACCGTAAGCCCCTAAACGCCGCTAAAACCCCTAAACCCTCATTCTCTTTCCGCGTTGTGCATGTGCCGGTGCTCTCACATGTCTGCCATGCAGCCAGGGACATTGCTCAATTCGAGTCGTTGACCATTGCAACGCAGTCTCATGCTTCACTTGTTAATTCCAGTCACCCTTGGACACGTGGCTTCGCAATGGTGCTACCGCCTCACCTCCGAAAGCAGCCGGTACAAGGTTCGTGAAGATATAGTCATTAGGTAGATCGTGCTGCATCTTTCGAGCTTGGTAGACTGCAGCAAGTGTTGCGGAGCAGCTGGGCAACCGCACCTAGCACAGGTCGGTGGGGCCTCGGGGGGGTTCGGGGACTTCGGATTCAGGGTCAGTGTGGTATAGTTCTACTTTCCCAGACGGGGCCCGAACAACTGGCTCATCCTGGTAGGGAATTTCTACTGTACCTGCAGTCGGAAAAGGGCCCATAAAAAAGGGAAAAACAAACGAACCCTACACCCCTAAACCCTAAGCCTCCAAACCCTACACCCCTACACCCCTAAACTTCTAAACTCCTAAACCCCCAAACCCTGCACCCCGAGCCCTCAACCCCTAAACTCTGAACCCCAAACCCCTAAACCCTAAACTTCTAAACCCTGCACCCCTAAACCACTAAACCCCTCAACCCCGAGCCCTAAGCCTCCTAAACCCTTTTAATGCCCTTATAGATCCCTTTAAAGGAGCCCTTATAGTACCCGCAATCTGCGAGTGAAATGCTGCGAAGTTGGCCTCGCCAGGACTTGGAGGCGATGCTGCAGGGCAAATGAGCCCAGTGCTTCGGTTTACGGGTTTAGTTTAGGGTTTCAGGGATTTAAGCTTTAGGGTTCAGGGTTTAGGGTTTAAGGGTTTAGGGTTTAAGGGCTTGGGGTTTAGGGTTCAGGAGGTCAGGGTTCAGGGCTTGCAAGAGGATGTACCAACAACAATGTTTCTGCTGCTTTAGCTGCGCCAGACCCTGCATCCGAAATCCCAAGCTCTTAAACTTAGGGGTAAATAGAAATGATTTTTAACTTTTTGTTATTATAATCCCTAAGAAACAGCTAAACTTCTAATTCTTGCTAGGGTTCTAAGTTCAGTATAGTAAACTGCACCAAGAGGATGAAAGTGGCTTTAGGAACTCTGAGCTTTTGAAGTCTCCAATACAAGGAGCAGGGTACCCCTATGTGGTCCCGAAAGATGATCGGGTCGAGTTCGATGTTCTTAGGACGAATACTGAGGGTGCGAGAGCAGTCGTAGCAGTATTCATAATCGCAACATGAGAGTAGCTGCGCTTCCATGCGAGTTCTTGCTTTACCAACTCGACCTGTCATGTTCCGTAAGAGTCGAGCCTCTTGCAGCAACTCAAGCTGTGGACACAAGATTCCCTTGGCTCTACCCCCGAAAGCTCTCGAGATGTTGGCTGTAAGGCGTGTTGCCACGAATCAGTGAATCATGATTAAAAGCTATGATTGAAATCAGTTCTTGAATTATTGGTATCATCATTTGTTTTGTCTGTTCCTGTTCCCGGACGTAGCATCATTAGTAGTGCTTTTACAGCTAATACTATTGTTACTACTACTACTACTACTACTACTACTACTACTACTACTACTACTACTACTGCTACTACTACTACTACTACTACTACTACTACGACGACTACGACTACGACGACGACGACGACTACTACTATTACTCCTACCGCGACTGCTGCTGCTGCTGCTGCTGCTGCTACTGCTACTGCTATTGCTGCGACTACTACTACTACTACTACTACTACTACTACTACTACTACTACTACTACTACTACTACTACTACTACTACTACTACTCCTACTGCTACTGCTACTGCTACCACTACCACTACCACTACCACTACCACTACCACTACCACTACCACTACCACTACCACCACTTCCACCACCACCACCACGACTACTACTTCTACTACTACTACTACTACTACTACTACTACTACTACTACTACTACTACTACTACTACTACTACTACTACTACTACTACTACTACTACTACTACTACTACTCCTACTCCGACTCCTACTCCTACGCCTACTCCTACTCCTACTCCTACTCCCACTCCTACTCCACTCCTACTCCTACTCCTGCTCCTACTCCTACTCCTACTCCTACTCCTACTCCTACTGCTACTGCTACTACTACTACTACTACTGCTACTACTCGCATCATGCATAGTATTGTCATCAGCCTTACTCTCATGATTACTGATACTACTACTTCTGTGACGGTTGCTATTACCATCATCACTATTGTAAAATCAGTTGTCGACCTGTTGGGTCTAGGGAGCTCGCAAACTTGACAAATTCGGTTTTGTGGGCCATGTCACAATTTGAGGCTCCTTGTCGGATGTCTTTGTTTTGGGCTGCCTTTTTCCGGCAGTAGGTTCTTCTTACGAGCTGTTTATGCTCCGACACCAAAGTTTCAGATCTGCCATTTCAGGGACCCGTGGACGCACTCAAAGACTCAAGGCTTGTGGGGGTACTGCCGAGCCACGGTATGCATGGACAGCCGATTTGAAGCGTCGTTCCAAGGCCTCTCATGACTCGACATGATGTCTCAAACGCGTCAGTCCGGAGCCGGCAGAGTGCCGAACCTGTGACGACATCTTCTCTCCGAGTAGGTCTTGGGGATTATGCGTTGGGTGTATTGGGCCTCTCATCAACCCGAGGATGATGTGACTTCCCTGAGTTTGAGGGGTACGGCTGGCGAGTTGTAGGGCCCAGCTATGAGTCATCATCGGCATCGCTGCTATCTTTTTCAGAACCCCACTCGGGCGGCTACAGGTTCCAGTATGTATGCCTCAAGGCTGCGTTATTTTTTGTAGGCGGTCGCAAGTTGCAAGACTTTATTGTCGATTCTATCCAAAGATTTGTCTTTCTTCTTCTGGCTATGCACTATGCGACCGGTCAGCCAACCTTCAGCAGTGCCACGAACGGGATCTGATTCAGGTTGTGAGTGTCTGTCTCTACATATTTACATTGACTCAGGGATTGCAATATGGGTTTTCAGGTTCAGCCTTTCCTTCCGGCTCCAGAACCGGGATGGCTGTAAGAAGCCACCAGGCTCCCCAAATTAATGCACCCGTGGTCGGAGACCCGAGCCAGGACGTCGATGGCTCTGGAATAGTATTGGTAGTTGCTAGTGAAAGTGACACTAAATTAAAAGTATCAGCAAATAGTACTCGAACTAGTAATAGTATCTACATCGCAAGAATCACAGCAGCAAGTCCAATACTACATCGAATAGTAATAGCAGCTGGTAGTCTCCCATGTATGAACTATACAACGTTAGCATTGTTTCTTGTTTCATGTTTGCCATGTCTGGCATTCGTGCTCTTTAACAAGGGCCGCAGGTTTATGAGTTTTTGAGTTGTTGGGTCATCTGGGCCCACTCAGAGCTACCATATCAGAATCATTTGTCAGCTTTGCTACAGGAATTGAGAAATCAAGATAGCAAAGACAAACCTTGAACGAAAGATGCCAAATCAAGACAAACAAAAGCAACATGCAGACCGTATAAAATCAAGGCACGACTTTAAACATATCTTTCAACGATGCTTTACACCTCCTTGAAAGGCTTTAAAAGACTTTAAGCTGCACTTGAAAATCTGGAAAATACTGCAGACAAGCATGTTTCAAAACAAAAGCCGTTGGAGGAGCGTTGAATGTTTATCGGCAGGGGGAGAGAGTGGGGGGTTGTGTCGTCCAAGGTGGAGCCCCGCGGCAAAACGACGACGAACAATTGAGATGTTCCTGGTATTCGATAAGTTTCAACACGGTTGTCATCATGTCTTACAACACTCATATGATTTCTCGGCTGCGGTGTATAGCATTGTTAACTTGCAAATATACTCAATAAGATTTAACTGGAATATATAAGTCTCATGATCCAATATGATCTTACCTGGCCCAGTTTGACAAACTTGTGCGCGCGCAAATGCAATTCACTTTTTGCCTTCAGCCCCGAGGTTTTCCCCCGGAGGTTCGAGGGCCCCTTGTATTTAAAGGGAACTCCAGAAAGTTGGAATATGGATTAATGGTAGGATCCCCGATAATTTACCTTAAAGGGGTTACGATAATGATATTCCAACTTTCTGGCTTCTACTGTATGTGCGTTTGCGTTGTCCTCGTGTCGGGCCGCGGGGCCGGTGAGGATTGGGACTGGAGGTAGGACTGTAGTCTGTAGCGTCTTTCCTAATTATGCATGATGTGGTTTCGCTGGAGGGATCACGTTGCAATGCACATAGCAACACCAGCACCAAAGGATCTCTAGGTACATCCATGACAAGAGCAGCAGGTAAGAGTAGTTCATAGTCAGCGATTTTCTAGCTCACAGAAGCTGGCTGCAGCATTGAAACCTTGAGTTCGTACGGCTAACCCAGAGTCCGCAAGACCAGATTTCTTGTGGGAGCGTCCACGAGCCAGCGTCCCCCCCCTTTTGTTGTTTGAAAGAAAATCCTCCTAGTGGAGAAGTGGCCTTGGAGAAGTTAGCTGCGTCTTCGGTGTGTGAGCTTACGCACCCTGGACACGGCTTGTGCCTCCAAGGCGCATGCGGCGATGCTCTTGCAAAATCCTGGGTGTAGCGCAGTCGAAACTAGAAAGCCTGGACAAGGTTCAAGGGTGGTTTCATTGAATTCCTCTACTTGCGCGGATCCTTCAGCAGCTAACGGAAAGGGCGGACGGCGGAGTCAGGCGCATGCACTTCCAGTTTGGCCGCAGCTTTGGCCATAGATGCTTGAGATGCTATCTGTGGCTGTGGCCCAGAGCCTGCTCTTAAGAGAGGACCAGAGTTGAGCATCATATAGGTGAGAAGTCAGAATAACGAATTCAACGGTACCAAACAGAGCTGCAGAGATGTGAATAATTTGCAGAAGTATCCCCTTGTGGTGACTTTGTAATCAGACTACAATATACCCCCCAGACCTGATGCTCTACTGTTGATCTAGCCCGATACCATGCGTCCTCTACCCTTTATCATGACCCACCAAACAACAATTCCCCTCAAACGCAAGGCCCGGCAATTCCGAGCGAGATCCAATGGGCCCTCATTCTGCATTAAACGACTTTCCATGTTAGTTTCATGGGCTACACAAGCCTAAAACCCTGAACCCTGAACCGCCGCCCTTCATCAAAAGAAGCACCGAAGTCTATGCTCTGATCCGCTTCTGCAGAGCTCCAACCCCTCCTCAGTTTTGACAGGAGAGGGAACACGTCGTGGAACGTCAGCGCGCGCTGATTCGAGCGGCAAAGGTGAGGGCGCAAGCCTTAGGATTTGATGGACCCAGTACCATGTGGAGATGAGAATCCTGATGACGACGAATGCGGTGCGGACGTGCCGTCGTCAACGACGACAACCGGGCTATTGTGCTAGCATCTCACGCAAGTAAGGCATAGGTCTTGGTGACGTACCCTCCTCAGTGTCCGAAGCACCACGAACTCACGCAACAGTCCATTGCGTCTTGAGCCTTCTCATATTCGTAATACTCACAACAACAATAAGTAACAATAACAATATCAATATAGGAAGTATAACGACAGCAACAATAATCATCATTATAATGACAACTATACTAATAATCAGAAGAAGAATCAGACTTATCATAACGATAACAAGAAGATGAATATCGCGGGCTAAGCCATGCCCCCTGAACCCGGCACCCTGTCCAGGTTTAAGCCCAGATCCTCTTAGCCTCCAAGGTGCCATACCTTACTTGGAGGATCATGGGACTTAGTAAGTAAGGTTATAAGTACCT